TTTGGAACATAATCTAGACTTGGGAACCCCATGATTCATTTTGAGCCAACAAGAGAGAGTGCCAAATCCGGTATCAATTGAATTGAAGAAATGGACAACTTGAATTATGTTGGTGAGACTATGTTAGTATGATATATTCCATGATGATTGAAACGACATATATCTTTATGGAAATTTAATAATAATAAAAAAGGACGAACCTAAACTATATGACAGTGGAAGGACTCCTGAATTGTACATAAATAGCTACACTATTGTTGCAATCACTAAAATTTATTCATGACATTATTTTATAGGATATTTGATTGGATAATCATTTATTTTCTTGCGGGACATGAGTAATTTCACATAATTTATAAATATATCAAACATTATATTGTGTTCGGCTAGAATTTATTCTTTTTGCATACTATTATACTTTTAACCTTAGATTCTTATCAAGAAAGAAAATGAGAGATACTATCCGTATTGCTTTAGCTGATGATAAATATGAAAAACCAAAGATCAAGATGAATAAAGCTTTGAAATCAAATCATGCCTGATCAATCTAGTCTCGGTCTATTGAGATATTAAAGTATGAGAAGTATGTTCAAATATATCATATTGATGACACAATTGAATGAGTTTAAATTTATTTGAAGCATGTTATATTCAAATTATGTGTTGTTATTTAAATTTTTATGATGATTTATGCTAAGTAATTCATAATTAATTATATTTTTTATATTTTTAATTTTGTTTGGCATAATATTTATTTGGCATACTTGTCTTTATTCCTTTTAATATGGTTCTTATTAAGCATTTTGTTATATCTATATGTTAATTTAGTTCTTCTCACAAACACCAATAATGAAATCAATAACATAATAGAAACTTAACATGTGTTCCATATCACATGTTCCTTAACATGTGGTCATAAGTCAAAACTATGAGAGATCAATGTCATATGAGAAACTTAATTAGAACACTACTTTGGAGCATAGAGCATTATTCTTGATGTGATTTTGGTAGACTCATGTATGCAATCTATTCAACATAGATGAAGAAAACAACATTATGAACCATTAGAAATGCATTGTTCTTACAATCTGTTAATCATATGTATTGTTAATAGAAGTGACCCTTAATGATACTCTGCCAATACTATATATAAATTATCTTCATTTTTCCCATTCTAGTTTAGGGACCCATGCTATTAGATATATTTTGATAACAATTAATAATCCAATTTGATGACATAATTGACCTATTAAGAAGATATGTGATCTAAATTACTTAATCTCAAAACAAACTTTGTAGACTCATTTAGAGACACGAAGATTTTTCAAAATTTTTAAATATATTAGACAATAGAATGTGTTTAGATTTAGAATACGTTTTTTATAGATAATATTGTCATTTTCAAGTTTGATTTCTATATAGAAATAAAAGGATGCATTTGATCTTTATTGCTTTAGCTAATGATATATATGAAGAAATGAAGATCTAGATGAACAAAGTTGTTAGATTGAACCATAGGGTGAGGATTCCTGATGTGGCCTCTGTTCATCAATGCTAAGATATCAAGATTTACATTTAATCATTGGTCTATTGTGTGCATTTCTTAAGCATTCTTGATCATGTTTCTTTAGAGTTATCATTCTTTTATTGGGTTTTATTTGGGTGCAACAAGAGAATAAAAGGATTATAGCACAGTGACCCTCGATAAGAATAAGGCACATAATTAGTTGATCACTGATGAGCAACCATTGATGACAATTCAGTGGTTTTGATGAATCGTGAGACGAAAGAGAAATTGCAAATATTTCATGATGACACCATACTTTTAAAAGCATCCAGATCTAAGGTTTGCAACAGTTAGTAAACATTAAGCAGATTTCCTTCGTAATTGACTAAGAGATTGGAAGGAAGAACAGAATCTTTGACACCTTCAGCAAACTGAACCGTGTCGAGTTTGCCACCTTCCAATGTTGCCATGAGTTTTTTGTCTCTCACATCCTCATGCAAAAAGGTTGGCAACTGCTTTCCTTGTCATAGTACTGCTGTTCTAACAAGAGAACTCCAAAGAAATAAAAACCAAAGTTTCTTGCTTCCAATTGTTTACTCGACAGGAGAAGATTCCACCCTTCCTTTTCTCTTCTCCCCACCCCATACCTGATGATATGCGTGTCTTAGACATGGCAGCTCGTTCATGAAAAGGGAGTGAATGTGGAATAAGGAGTTGCTTATCAAAGCTATTGTATTGGAATCTGCTGGCACTGTTCTTAGCAAGATCTTGACACCCGGCTCCGCAGTTGAGCTGCTTTGAAAGAATACTCGTTTCACATCCTATACCTGCAAAGTTTGCAGCTGCATTCATGGGTCATACTCCCAAGGGAACACTGTAGAAACTGGTCCAATGTAGTGCACCAAAGTACCTTTCAAGGGCCACGGAAAGCCTAAAGAATAATGTGCTCATCTGGTATGATAATATTGTATTTATCTGACACAGGTTATCAGAATGGAGACTGAGCAAACTACATGGACTACAGTTGGCTTGACGTGCACGACCATCAAAGCGTCGTAATTCTGCATGGGAGATGCACACCTACGTGGCAAATAAGAACATTCGACCATGTTATGAAGGCATCTATCTATGCTGACCCAAATATCACCATTACTACTTGAAGGAATCAAATTTGTGCTACCATCAAATCTCAGAAACTAAAGCATTAGTAAAGGATAAATCATTAGTAAACAAACATGATGGGAATCTATGAAACCATAAAAACCTACACACCAACTATAAGCTGAACTGGGGAAGTAATGTTGACGTTATTAGCAGAACCAATCATGTGTTTCGATGTATTCCAATCCAAAGTGGTGAAGAATGAATAGGTCGGTTGGTGAGATCTGGAAAGACGTAGAGAGCAGCATCAACAAAGCTGAACAATGTTGTCTCACTGACCTTTGACCTCTGCTCAAGGGTGATACTGAAGGGGAATATTAGGTTAGGCATGGGACAGTGAAGAGACCGCTTTAAGAGTTTGTTCCCTGTGGCTGACCCATGCTGAGGAGATTCAAGAAAAGATTGGTTGCCACTGTCATTTTCCTTGTCAATGTGCTCCAAAATCATCAATAAAATGATCCAAGTCTCTTCTTTTTCAACCTTTTAGATACAAGAACCACAACTTGAAAGCACTGTCATTTTCCCTGTTGATGTGCTCCAAAATCATCAATAAAATGATCCAACTTTTGGATACAAGAACTACAACCCAAGACCACAGATAAGGAGTTTGCTGGATATTTTACTGCAACTAATGACAGAAGGAGCATCATGTAACTAATGGATTGCATATAATGAGGTTTTGATGGAAACCAGATGCACTTATGAGAAATCAATTTGGGAAAAATACTTTTTATCTTAACCGCATCACAATTTGTCATCTTGATGCAGTAAAAGAGACCATGAATCTCTCATGTTTGCAGCAATGCTTCAAGTACAAATACTTTTAGTACGTAAAAGGCAAGAACAGCAAGCAGCAGAGAAGCACAACAATCTAGGGTGGAAAAAAGGCTTCTCTTGAATTTACAGGACACAACAATAATGTGTTCTCTCATGAAATGCACTATATCCTGTAGACTGATTACAGCATAAACTCCTGCAGTCACAGCAGATGGGGTTTCCAAAAATCTTGTACCAAAGAAGAGTGAGATTTTAACTGGAGAGATTGTAATCACAAAATATTTCAGCACACAAACTTCACACTCTGGGATAGGATCCCAGTTTGAGTGTGTCCTCCAAACAGTCATCATTATTAGGGACACTGAAGAAGATGGAAATTCTCCATTTTTTCAGCATTAGAAATAATCATTAAGAGCTTTGCGAAATGCTGAGTGCATTAAAACCTTTGCCTGCTTGAGTCCAGTTAACTAGATATAAAGAACTACAGATATTATCATTCTGAAATTTAATTTTCCTTTCTCCAAGCTAGTAATGATCTTATGAGTACTTACTGCCATGATAAAACATACCATTAACCTTCTTAAACATGTTACCAAAGAAACTCCAAATTCAGCATCTACCACCACAGACACTACTCATAGCATTATTGTCATAATTTCCACCCAAGTTCGTGCAAGAATTAGGATAAAAAAATAACATGGAAAGATATATTTGAGACATACATTACTGCTTCCAGGATGCATCTTCAACTTTTAGCAACAAGGACACATTGTGGTTGCAGTGCACCATTGAAATTTTAGTTGCTCTAAATGACCATTAGATGCATCAGGTTTTAATTCTCATCAAAATGAAAACTTACATAACTCCAGAGATTTTGACAAACATCACAATAGCATGCAACAGAGAATATCACGTAAGCAAAAAAGTAAAAGGAAACAAAATGGTGTTCCTTCAGAGGACATGTGACTAGCGTCCACCATACACAAGCTTAGAAAGCAACTAGGGTTGTTATCTTTTTTTCCCCAAGCGCCAACTCCACCTTTGTTCCAATCCAACCACATTCATTGCCATGCGTCAAGTTAACTCCATATGTTTGTGTTACATTCAATTGTACATAGTCATCAAGACATGTGCCAATGTAAACGGAAAAAGGTTCTAATTGGAATATTTTACAGTTGGTCATCATATACGCTGTTCAGAATCTTTTTGAAAGAGTGACCGGTGGGCAGCATGCCATGACTAGTTCTCAAAGATTGTGCATTGCACCAAGAGAAGACTGCAAAAAAGAAGTCAGTTGATGAGGAAGAATTAACTGAATGGTTCTTAACAACAGTCGCTTTACACTCCTTCCCACTATGTTCAAGAAATGGCCATATGTTAGATCAAGCAACAGAAATCATGAAGATTAAAAATGCCAGATCAGTTAGAAAAACCAGGTAAAACATCACATCCAATTGCATAAATTAAACTCTGAGAACTTAAAAAAACAGAATTCCTGATCTACTTTGAATGGAGACCCAACTAAGAATTTTCCAAAAGATTTACTCTTGGCAGAAGACCTAAAGACTAGGGAATAGGTGTTCATTTCTGTAGTCTTGGAACTTGAGATTAACTTGTTGGAATTGTGAGTTAAATTAATATAGTTTTTGAGACTCATGATGATTTGGGTTCTGCGAGTAGAGGATTTATCAACATGAGATGATTTGAAATGAAAATGATTAATATTACTCTCCTGTGTCTCTCTACTGCTCAAGAGCTTCCTACACTGTCCACTTCTACCTTCCAATTTCTCTCCTCTCTTCCTCCTAGTTGTTCTACATCAGATTGGTACCGAGTCTTCATCATTAGAGCCAATATCCACCACTACCTTTCTAGATACTCGTCTCCCTATGGGTATGTACTTAAGTTACATGAATTCACTCATTAAGAAATTTATGTGCTACAACTCATTGAAAAGGTGTAGACAAATTTGTTACAGGATCCAAATAAAGATGCCATGTGGATCAGGATATACCATAAAAGTACAGTCAAGCGCATCAGAGTAGTTACTAAAATAATTGAACATAAATTTCAATAAAAAAAAAGAAGGTAGACTAAATCCCAGTGATACTGTTCTCACTGATATATTTAACTCTAAAAGCAAACTAGTGCAAAACTAATTAAAATGTCAAACAAGCCTCCTCAAAAGATGAAATATCTGCATGCCAATCTCGATAGAATAATCATGCCTATTGATGCCTCACATACTTTTTGTTTCGGTACTTGTAACCAAACATATAAATTTTAAATTTCTGTCCTCCTATGTTCATATATTCATCAAAGAGGACATATAATATACCCAAGTTTTTTTCTATGTTTTGCTGATACAGAAGGAACTTAACAGCAATGATGAATCTGGAGCTTTTCATGATTTATGCAACTAGAGTTACTCAGGATTGGAACTAGTGGCAATTAAAGTCAGATGTGGTTTTTATCAACAAAATCAAACATTGATTCTAATATATGTTAGGAAATAAAAATAACTGTTGAGAAAAAGATGCATCATACCTTAGTGCCAGAGGGAGGGGTTCCAGTTTTAGTTGCAGGCATACCACCAAACCCAAACTTTGCCTTCTTTTCTGCAGGTTTCAAAATCTGGAATGAGCACATCAAGGTTTCATCTACACTCATCATGGCACCAGAATTGTCAAATTCCCCACAGTAATTTGGGGCAGAGAAAATTGTCACAAGTTGCCTGTCAGCAAAGAACTCATATCCATCCTCTACCACCTAGGAAGATAAGTAAGATTAGAAGTACAGATGTTTTTTCAAAATAATATAGGGAAGAAAACAGAAGAGAGGGTTAATCGTAACCTGGTGAGCACGGCAGATCAGATCCAGATCATGCTTCTGAAGAAACTCAGTCACTCTATCAGGCCCAAAAGTATAAGATACTCCTCTATCATTCATTCCCCAACCTTGAATCTCATTACTAGGATCTGACCATAAAAGATCACAAAGCAACCCAGTGTCTGGCACATCAGTAGGGCATGCTAAATTTCGAATTTGATCCAAATCATGCAAGTCCGGAGAGAGACCACCATGCATGCAGAGAATCTTTTCATCAATAAGAGCTGCCACGGGTAGGCAATTAAAACAATCTGTGAAGACCTTCCAGAGCCTCACATTGAATCTGCGCTTGCATTCATCGTAAAACCCATAAATACGGTTTATAGATGCACATTCATGATTGCCCCTCAAAAGAAAGAAGTTCTCTGGATACTTAATCTTATAGGCCAAAAGTAGGCATATGGTCTCTAGGCTTTGTTTCCCTCGATCTACATAGTCACCTAAGAACAAGTAATTGGCTTGAGGTGGCAACCCACCATATTCAAAAAGCCTCAAAAGGTCAGAATACTGGCCATGAATATCACCTGTTTTCAAAATGAAAGAACGGCACATATGTTTAGCCAACAGAACAAACAACGGACACTGAAAGAACCTAGAAATTAGATAACTAGGAAAAACAGCATGTACAAAAGCTTTTCGACTCAAATCATGCGCAGAGCTGTTTGTGCTTCACAAAGCTGGATAGAAGCAAGGCCCCTAGTGTCCACATACCGATAGCCCAATTTACCATGCTCTCATTCAATACAACATTTAAAAATTAAGTAATCAAAGTCTCAAATCAACGAGTACGCTATTGATACATCAAACAGAAATAAATCTAAGCATGTCAAATATCAGAATAACTAGACAAAGATATTCAATGTTACACATCAAAACCAAAACATGTTTTGTTACCATATCAAATTCTCTGAATATGATCTGAGTTAATCTAGCAGGTCTAACCTTGAGCAGTTTGGCATGAAAAGATAGGTGCCAATAGCTAACAAATACTTTCATCTACATTGAATAATCAATTTCCACGGGTTTGGAATTGTAAATACCAAAACAGAAACTTCATAAACTGCTCGCCATTCGAGTGTAACAAAAGATAAGAGTGTGGAGGCAGAGAATATTGTTTATGCAGCAATTTTTTCATTTTTTCACATCTCCAGTGTAGGTGAATCAATAAAAGATGCAACTAGAAGGTAATCTTTAGTTACTCTTAACCATCTATAACTGAAATCAGCATCATAATAGATGTCGCCTCTTAAAATATTATTTTACCACTGGTTATTTCTTTTAAAGATGACTGTTTTAATGGCCTAGTACTCCAACAATTCTACTACTGCTATGGGCTAGGCTATATATAAAGCATAATTCTTAAGTAAGAATTCAGAGCAGATTCCAGAATACTGCTATGGTTATCCTGACATGAAAATTCAAACAGTGTATAAAGGTACACGCAAGCCATTTTGGGCAGATCAAAGGATTTCAAGGATCATAAGGTGGATGACTAATATCACCATCTGTCATTAATTACAAAGACAAAATGTGGTGCTACAAAGTACAAGCCTCATAATTTGTCATAAGAACCTATCGATAGCCGCCTAGAAGCATACAAAATACAATTAGACAGGATTCCTAAAAAGATCAGATGACAAATTGTCATAAATTCGAATTTAGACCAACTAAATGCTTCATTATTCCCACTTAAACAGAAACACAACTCGTGTGTCTCAACACTGCAGAAATAATATTTTTAGTGCATACAGAAAAATCCTAGTCCCAATAGATAAGACCATGTCCACTTCCTTTTTATGGAAACATCATCAACCCTTTGTAAAAGTTTGATCTTTCAATATCACTATACATTACTTCCGAATAATCATTCTTAGATACTGATATCGTCCTACTTAAACTAGCTACCATTTAGCACATAAAAAAAAATCCATCAATCTATAAGCAGGTAAGACAAGGGTACAAAATTAACTAACTGAAATGTCTCTAATTTGTAGCAATCTCATAGCTAGTGCTAGAAAAGCAGATAATGGGCGAAATAAAAAAAAATAAACTGCAAGCTTCCAAATTTCTAAACCTTTTTGCCGATTCGGAGAGCTCGAACAACCGACGGCATGAAATAAAAAATCTCTTTTTTCCTCTGAAGCATATTTGACTAATAATCATAACATTTTCCTCTAAAAAACCAGAGCTATCAAATCAGTCCATGTACAAAACATAAACAGGATCAAAGAAATGATAAGAATTTACCGCAGATCTTAATAGGTGCCTCGAGCTCTAAAAGGTTGGGCTGTTGCATAAATATATCCTTCGATACAACACACAGTTGCCGGATCTCCGCCTCCGACAGCTGCACCTGCTTTCCCGGTCGACTCCCTCTAACTTCCAGCAGCCGCCGGATGATATCATCCAGCGCCCTCCGATCCATCCCCACGAAGCGGGAATAGTAACCCTCTTTTTTTCCCTCTCAAAACCAAAAACTGCCAAAAAGATCACCACGAAAACAACAAGATAACGCAAGAACACCTAAAAAGACCACCTTTCCCTTCGAACCCACCCCCCAAAGTCGCTGTGAAACCCATATCGCGAGATTTCAAGACTCCGCAGCCCCATCGCCTCCGAATTTTCTTGCATTTCGAGAACCGCCCTCTCTTCCCCGATACAGTAGGGTTTCTCTTTTCTTCATCACATCGATTTCCACTCACTCCTCTCTATCCACTTCTTTCTGGGTGCAAAAAGAGCTTTTTTTTCCCGTCGAATTGAAAGGTCGAGTAGCCAAGACCGGTCATCAAGGATCTGACGGCTGAAGCTTCGCAACAGACACAGAAGGGAGACTAGTGATCTGATCCAGACCGTCAGATCGAGGTAGGGGAGTACGTGGGTAGGTCGTGTGGGGCATCAGATGTCTGCAAAGGGTACGAATCTGAGTCAGCAGCACCAGGAAGAATCCATGCCAAGATTCAACCCGTATCTGACACAAGTCAAATTTAGAGGGTATTGAACACTAGTCACTCACATGAGCAATATAATATAATTTGAAGTCTCCAAGACTAGGGATAAATTTGAAATCATATTTAAAATATGTATCGAGGATCTAATATATATATTTTAAACATAAATTAATATTTAACAAATTTTTTTATTATATTTGACTTAGATGTTATAGTATAAATGTTCCATACTGATGTCATCTTAGGATAGTATTAGCATCTCAATATTTAAGGAATATTAATATATTTTTTTTTAATTTTCAAATGTACTTCATAATTTTATCTAAAACTATCAAAATAATTTAATGAGAAACTAATATAATATATATTTTATATAGAGTGAAATTTTAGTTATTTATTTTTTAAAATTATTTTATATTTATTTATATGATTATATTTTTTAGTTATTATATATTTGGGCCATCAAAGTTTGTATAAGATTACATTTATTTATTTTATTTATTTAAATATATATTCACTTTTAAATAAATATTAAAATTATTAAAGGATAAATTTATTATAAAAAATATTCAATAAATTTTTAAAATATAATTTTATCAAATAACACTTATATGAATGCACATCTAAAGTTTAGTTAAATTTATCGATTATTTATTAAATATTCAAAGTATTTTATAACAATATATTCACTTAAAAATTTTCAATTATATATTAAAAATATAAGTATGTTTCCAAAACACAATGTGACACTTTAAAACCCATTTCATATGATAAACTATGCTTGTTTATGAGGTGAATTGGACATACACGTCACATATCTTACAAACCAGCCAGAATGAATGATATGTCCCTCGCTGTCATATAATAAATAGTAACTTCGATGACTTCATACGTTGTGCGTGTGAACCTAAGGATGACACGTGCTCCTTTAAATCTTACAATGCACCCTATCTTTCACTTTCCACTGCTTACTTATACAATGCTCATAGTATATATATTATGCGAGAATTTGAACTTTTGGATCGGTTTGCGTTTATCAACAATATATAAAAGTAAAAAAGAACACACATATCTTCTGATTTTTTAGAGAACTTATTTATATATCATCAGAGTAGGAACTCTAGTATCGACATGTTCTTAGAGATACCTTCCAAAACAGTTTTTTTGTAATAATATCAAAATTCTTTAATAAAGTTTTAATTTATATTCTTTTTTAACTCACACTAATTTATACTATATTTACATTTTATAATAAAAAATAGATTATATTTAAACTTTGTATGTTTATATAGGTTATGACCCCTATTATTATTTTTTACTTTATGAAACTCTAATTAGAGAGATCTCAATTTCCAAAAAATTAGGTTCCAAGAAGTGCAGTAGTTTAATTCCCTTATATATACATATACATATATATACATATACATATACATACATATACATATACATACATATACATATACATATATA